GGTGCAGTGATTAGTGTCTCTTTGTTTCTAGGTGCACCTGGTATAATCTCAGCCTCTCCGTATGCAGGAGCTGGGTTCCCTCCCACCTTTGCAATTCCTCCAGCCACAGGTACTCAACTCGGCCGCCCCAGCGACTGCATGCCTCACCCTTTCCACGCAGCTCTGCTTCCACGGCAGCCAGCGTGGCCGGCTGGTCCCTGGCGAGTGCCGGGGAGAGGGGAAGGGAGCCGCAGGGGCAGTCGCGTCCGCAGAGGCGGCTCGACAGGGCAGCGGAGAGGCAGGGCAGGGCAGGGCAACAGCCCGTGAGTAGGGCCTTGGAGTTGGCGAAAGCCGCTAACCGGTCAGTCTTGTGGTCTGGTTCCCTTCAAGCACTCGGGCGAGGACGAGGACGAACTGGAGGGATGTGTCCCTAGTAGTTGTTGAGTGGCCTGGTAAGCGATGGCCTCCGCTGAGGAGCATGCGCCGGCGGCCGGCACACGTGTGCGTCGTCCCGGCCGTCGTGGCCGCGTGCGAGCAGTGCCTGCTGCGTCTGCATGGAGGACGGCGTGGCTTGCACGCACGCCGTGTCCTGTCGGGCCTGCCTGCGAGGCCCATGTCTGCGTTTTCGGACCCAGGCTTCCGTGCTGTGGCGCATGCAGGGGGCCCAGGGGCCGTGTGGCTGCACCTGGCGCCCGGAGGAGCCCACGGGCACCCCTCACAGGGCTCGAGCCTGGCGCCGCCTCCCGTGGCTCCTTGTGCATGAGGAGGGGGCCTCTGTGCCCCATTGGTGGCCGGTGGAGGGCCTGTGCTCACTTCCTGACTGCCTTTTCCCTTCCAGGTCTGTCTGTCCCTAACGTGCACGGAGCCCTGGCCCCATTGGCCATTCCATCGGCTGCAGCTGCCGCGGCTGCTGCAGGCCGCATCACCATCCCAGGCCTGGCGGGGGCTGGGAACTCTGTCCTGCTGGTCAGCAACCTCAACCCCGAGGTACGTGGGTCCCTCCCAGGCTGCTTCTCCCAGAGCGTGAGCAGGGTATGCTGGGCCCTAGGGTCAGTGGCCGTGCTGCATGCGGGCGGGGCCTGAGTCTCCACCTCAGCCCCTAGCAGCGGCCTCCTCAGGCTCCGCGTGGCCGCCTCGCTCTATTGGAGTCTGCTGTGTGTTGCGACATCACTCCTGCTTACCACCTTTCCCAGGGTCCTCTGAGTTTCCTGTCTTCCCTGCCGTCTCCATTTGCATTTTCAATTTGATGACGCTCTGAGTTGAAATACCTCCTGTCACTTATCGAGGAGGGCTAGGCTAGGTGTGCGCCCAGCAGGTGCAGCAGGGGACCCTGGGCCTGCGGGCAGTCAGGATGCTTGGCCATGTATGCCTTGCACACAGACCTCAGTTGCCAGTGTGAACGTGTCCACACAGCTGGGGCTGGGCCAAGATGCCCGGGGCTCAGGGTGTGAGTTTGGAGGACAGGACCTGGTCGGCATCTCAGAGCACTCCTCGGCTGTGGTGCTTCTGTTGGCTTCCTGGGCTCTGGGCAGGGCAGGACTGTTGTCCCCACAGTCCTGCTCGTGCGCTCCACGTCCCTGCAGCTGTTCTGAGCCAGGGCACGTGGGGGTGGACCAGCAGCCGCTGCTGCCTGTGGCTGCAGAGACCTCCCAGCACAGCCCGGGCCTGGCCTCTCCCTGCTGTCTCCCCAGGTGGAACGTTGCGTGTGCGCGAGTGACTGGGACACTGCCTGGTTTCCTTACGTATTTACTGACCTGTGTTTTTTGCTACTTTTTTCTTTTCTCCCCTTTCCCTATTTTTTTTCTTGCCCTGATCCGGAATTTCTTTGCCAACTGACTGCACGGTTCTTCTGCTTCCTGTTGTTGCTTGAAACAAACAAAACATAAATAAATAAAAACAAACTCCCCTCTCAAACCCTGCTCTCCGGAAACAACCCGCCCTTGAATATTAACATCCTGGCAACTCATCACCATCAACCTGCACGCCTGCGGGGACTGTCTTCCTCGTGGTGGACGATGGCAACTCGCCCCCTTGACCTCTCCCTTCCCCCTGTCCCTTCGCTGCCTTGCTCTGCTGTCCTCTAAAGAGAGTCACACCCCAAAGCCTCTTTATTCTTTTCGGTATGTTATTCCCACTTTTATTATCTTGTTTTCATTTAATTGATGGTTTTACGCCCTGAGATGTGCCCTGAGTTTGCGTTTGGCCTTCTGCCTCCTTACGTGGTTTGCTTCCGGTTGCAACCGTCTCACCCGTAGTCGCGCATGGTTACCGCCCTGCATGCTTCTCCAAGAGTTAAGCGTGTCAGTAGCATGCGAACGTGGTCCTTCTTGACAGCTGGCCTGTCCCGGACATTAGGACCTGGCTGGACATGGGCGCTCCTGTTAGCGGGCCCTGGGCTGCTAGGCGCAGGCTCCCCAGCAGGCTGAGCAAGCCTTAAGGGGTGCACAGGGGCTGGAGGGCGGGCGGGGCCAGGTGCTCACGGCCTTGTCCCTGGGTCCCGAAGGCGTCTATGGGGACGTGCAGCGGGTGAAGATCTTGTTCAACAAGAAGGAGAATGCGCTGGTGCAGATGGCAGATGGCAGCCAGGCCCAGCTGGGTAAGAGGCCCAGGCCCCAGGGCAGGCACAGGGTGGGGCATGGGGGTGCCTGCTGGGGCCCCTGCTCACGTGCCCCTGTGTTCCCAGCCATGAGCCACCTGAACGGGCACAAGCTGCACGGGAAGCCCATCCGCATCACGCTGTCCAAGCACCAGAACGTGCAGCTGCCGCGGGAGGGCCAGGAGGACCAGGGCCTCACCAAGGACTACGGCAACTCCCCCCTGCACCGCTTCAAGAAGCCCGGCTCCAAGAACTTCCAGAACATCTTCCCGCCCTCTGCCACCCTGCACCTCTCCAACATCCCGTGAGTCCGGGCACCCCGCAGGGAGGCGCCCCCATCCTGCCTCAGCAGCCCCTCCAAGTGCAGGCGTGGGACGCAGAGCCTCTTGGTCTTGTCAAGGCCATTTCCGGCCCCGTGGTCATCACTTCTCCCTTTGTCTCCAAGGGGTCCCATGTGCCCTGGCCTCTGAGGTGGGAGGTCCCTGCAGGTGCCTGCTCACACCCCTCCTCCCCACAGGCCTTCCATCACGGAGGAAGACCTCAAGGTCCTGTTCTCCAGCAACGGGGGCGTGGTCAAGGGTTTCAAATTCTTCCAGTGAGTAGGGGCTTCCCCACCCTGCCTCCCCTCCCCACCATACCCACCCACCCACCCCGTGCCCACCAGCTGGCCTGCTGTGCTGTAGGAAGGACCGCAAGATGGCGCTGATCCAGATGGGCTCCGTGGAGGAGGCAGTGCAGGCCCTCATCGACCTGCACAACCATGACCTGGGCGAGAACCACCACCTGCGAGTCTCCTTCTCCAAGTCCACCATCTAGGGCCCAGCCCCTGGCCGGGCTCCGGAGCCGCTTCCGTCATTCCAGAGAAAAGCCACTTTAAGAAGCAGCTGAAGTGACCTTAACAGACCAGAGATTTTATTTTTTTAAAGAGAAATCAGTTTACCTGTTTTTAAAAAAATTAAATCTAGCTCACCTTGCTGACCTTGCGGTGACTGACGGCTCGGGCGCTCGGGGACTGCGGCAGGGGTCCCCCACCTGCCCGGGGCCAGGCCAGGCCAGACCCCGCGCCCTGCCTTGCAGGGTGTGCTGGGCGTGCGGCCCACGGGGGGCGCCCCCACCACGACGTGGCTTCCTCGTGCCTTAAACCTGCCTGCCTTGCAGCCGCACGCCCACCCAAGGGGACCCAGGGACCCGGGGCCGGGGTTCTGCTCCAGGCAAACGCAAAGCGGCCTCCTGCTCCCACGGATCATGTGCCCAGTGCTGGGAGGGAGTGGAGACCGAGGTGCCAGCAGGGCTGGCTGGCACCCCCCCCATGTAATCAAGTGACATGATTCTCCCCGTGTCCTCCAGCCACCCAGGTCCCCCTCGCCCGGCCAGGCCCAGAGGGCACCAGCCCAGCCTCCTTGAGCTTCTAGCCTTTTGTTATAATCTTTGTATCATATTCTGATGTGGTTGCAGACATCTGTGCCTAGCAATATTTCCAGTTGACCAAATATCCTAATCTTTTTTCATTTATATGCAAAAGAAATAGTTTTAAGTACCTTTTTATAGCAAGAGGATCCAGTGGTATGAGTGTGAGCTTTCTCTTGGTATTACTTTGTATGCTGTACTTTCTATTTTATTCTTTGTAATCAATTCAGTCACAGGCAGGACCCAGCCTCCGTGGCAGGGCCCGGCCGTGCACCGCCCGCCTCCGTGGCCTTACTCAGCTCCCCACATCTGCCTAGGAAGACCAGCTCTAGAACTTTCAGGGTTTGTTGTTTTTCCCCCTTTTCCTTCAAATTTTGGACCAAAGTCGTGTTTCTGTTCCTGTCTGCTCTGATGCTGGGACTCCAGGCGGTGGGACCCTCCAGGTCCTGACCACCCTCCTACCCTGGGGGACGCCTTGGTCCCACCGCGCCAGCAGCAGGGCTGGTCTCCTCGGATCCCCAGTTCCATAGAGTGACAAGGGTGTAAATATTTATGATTTTTTTTATACCTTTAGAGACGTGGAGGGCGCGTCGGGTTTTTACGGTGACGTGTGTTTTGATAACAGCGACCGCAGGCTCAGTATTGTACGTGGAGCGCAGTGGCCACGAGCACATTCCATTGCCCGTCCGGGCTTGTCATGAGAGAACTCGATTAAAGCCGTTTTACAACACCTGCCTCCTGTAGACCTCTTCTTTGCTGTCAGCTGTGGAAGGCAGCTGGCGGGTCTGTACTGGACGTGAATAAATCTCTTCTCTACCCTGCGCTTCGGATCTCCCTCTTTTTTGGGGCATGTTTTGTCTTGGCTGCTGTCTCTGAATCCAGCCACCTGCTTCCCTCCTCTGCCCTGGGCTGGGGGCTGAGACCCACGTCCCTCCTGTTCAGAGGTGCTGCAGGGGCAGAGAACCAGACCCTACTACCCACTGGCCTTGGGCCCGCACAGACCAGACGACTCGGGACCTGAAGTCGGCCATCGCCTTCTTTATTATTGATGTGGTCAAGATGCCCCAGCCCTCAGCCCCCCACCCATCCTGGCCTTAGGTGGCCTCTGCCGCGGAGAGGTGCGCCTCAGTCCTGGAGCCTGCGGGCCTGCATCCTCCGGAAGTAGCTCTCAGCCTCCGCCTCACCGGCCTCCCGCTCGCCCAGCACCAGGCCGCCCTGCCGCCGCAGTGTGGACTCGCGGCTGGCTGGCCCCAGCACTCCGTCCGCTGCGCCCTGTGGGGGCAGCCCCTCTCCCGTGGCCAGGTTGACAGTGGCCACGGCCCCAAAGCGCGGCTCCTCTTGGTCCACGTCGCTGACTGATGAGCCCGGGGACATGCCTGGTGGCTTGGACCCCACGCGGAAGCCACGCGCCAGGTCCCCCAGCTCGTACCCCGCCTCACTCTCCGTCCCCCGGGGCCCACCGCCCGCTGCCTTCCACTCCCAGGGCGCGTTACCCGCCGACAGGTGGACCACAGGGTGGTGGGGTGCGTGAGCATCGATGGTGACGATGCTGGCCGAGTCGCGGTCTGAGGGCGAGCGGTACTGCGAGGAGTCAGAGCTGGCACTGGAGGACGAGGCCGTCTCTGCTGCCTTGGGTCCCGGCCCGCCCGGGGCCTTGGACATGGCAATGACCTGCAGCAGCCGAGGGGGGTTGGCCACGCGGGGCTGCGCGGGGGCCACCGGGGCCCCGCCCTTCTCGGCCATCATGAGCCACTTGGCACGCACGGCGGCGCTGCTCTTGGGGGACAGGCCCGCGCCTGCCTGCGCCCCCTCCTCGGGGATGTGCACCAGCGGCTGAGGCCCCGACCGTGGCGGGAGCAGGACCCGCGGTCCCAGCCCTGGCCGCGCCTGCACCGTGGGGTAGAGTGAGGGTGGGATGGGGCCCTCCTCCTCCCCCTCCTCGTCCTCCTCCTCCTCCTCGTCCTCCTCCTCCTCCTCGTCCTCCTCCTCCTCTGCCATGGGCTCTGCGGGCGCCCGCAGGTGTGCAGGGCTGGCCTCGTCGGGCAGCCCCAGGCCACGGCCCTCCAGGGACTTCTGCTTCCACTCACTGATGAGCTGCTTGGAGCGTGAGGCATCCAGCGGCACGTGGATGGTCATGTGGCGGCGAGCAGGGTCGTCCAGCGAGGGTGTGCTGACTCGGGGCAGCGTGTTGCTAAAGGTCACCAAGTGCTCCTTGCCCATGGGGCTGCGGGGGGCCAGCAGGTCCACATCCACGCTGGCCCTCTTCAGGCTGCCCAGGGACGTCTTCTCTCGGGCCACAGGACGTGGCACGCCCTCCAGACGCCCTGGTGGGCCCAGCTCATCTGTGCTCACAGACTTATTCTGCTGGTAAACTGAGTCGTGGCCCCGCTGGGTCAGGGCCCGCAACGCGTCCTTGGCGGGTGGGGGAGCCGCGGGTTTCTCTGCGGGTGGGGCCTGGAAGTTGCCCACCGCGTGGCAGGCCTGGGAGGACACAGGGAGCGTGAGCCTCCTGCCAGTGACGGCCGGGCCGGTGACGCACCTGCCTGGGAACCGGGGACCCAGGGCTGCAGGTCCTCGTCCCTCTGGAGTCCCCGGGACCCCAGGACGGGGGCGGCCTCCCCCTGGCAGGACGCGCCCCTCCCCGCTGGCAGGCCCGGCCCCCCGGCTCTGCGGCAGCTCACCAGGTAGGCAGCGATGCCCGCCCCGATGAGGAAGCCCGCGTAGACGTCCACCGCGTGGCTGCGGTGCTGGGTGATCTGGGTGAGCCCACAGACGCCGGCGGCCATGGCGAAGGCGAACACCAGCACGGGCTTGAGCAGCTTCGTGGCGTCCGAGATGACGGAGTTGAAGTACATCTGGGGGGTGGACAGGGTCAGGCCTGGCCAGGGCCCGGGAGCCGTGGGGGCTGGGGAGCACTCACCGACACGTAGACGGCGGCAAAGGCAGACAGCGTGGCGTGCTGGGACGGGAAGGTCTTCCTGCAAGAGCGAACCGTGAGCCCCGCGGGCTGCCCACGGGGGCGCGGTGGGGCGGTGGAGGGCGGTGGCTCACCGTGCCGACAGGATGGCGTGGGCATCGTGGCCAGAGCAGATGTCCTGCGTGATGTAGGGGTTGGCCTCGCAGGACGTGCCCAGCAGAGTGTAGTTGGGCTTGCAGACGGTCAGGAAGAAGGGTGCGTGGTAGCCAGTGGCCAGCTGGATGATGTCGGTCACCAGAGCTGTGGCACACAGGCCAAACACGTGGACGCCTGCGGGGTCAGGGGGTCAGGGCCGGGACCGCGGGCACAGCTGCCCCGCTGGATGGGCCCTCCGGGCGGCAGGGGAGAGGCCAGCACTCACCCACGAACCGCACAGTGCGCCGCAAGAAGGAGTTGAAGTTGCAGCCGCCAGCGCTGATGCTGCCCTCGGCCCCGCCAGCGGCCCCGCTGCGGCCCCACAGCCGGGCCTGAAGGCAGTAGAGCAGCCCCTCACCGACCATGATCTGCCCAACAGGGAGGGGTCGTCAGGAAGGCTGGGGCCGTACCCTCACAGCCCCTCGCCCCCAGCCAGCCCAGGCGCACGCGCTCACCGAGGCGGCTGGGGCTGCAAAGGCCAGGCTGAGCAGCATGAGCAGGGGGATGAGCTCCTCGCTGGTCTCCACGTAGGGCATGGACAGCGCGCGGTCGTAGCACTGGAAGCCCACCTGCGCGGGCCTGAAGAGGTCGGTCAGCTCCAGGAAGTACAGCGACACGATGGAGGACGCCACGATGGGCAGCTGCAGCAGACACGCAGGCCACTGTCCACCTGCCAGCCCACAACCACCCCCGCCAGCTGGCTGTCATCCAGCACCCAGAAACGAGGTCCTCAGGCCAGGCCTCTCCACTGCCACCCACACGCCCTCCACCTGCCCATCCACCCACATGCCCACCCGTCCACCATCCACCACCCACACGCCCACCACCCACACGCCCACCTGGCCACCCGGCCACCTGTCCATCCACCCACCACCCACACGCCCACCTGTCCATCCACCCACACGCCCACCCGTCCATCCACCCACATACCCATCTGTCCATCCACCCACCACCCACACGCCCACCACCCACATGCCCACCTGTCCATCCACCCACACGCCCACCACCCACACGCCCACCACCCATCTGTCCATCCACCACCCACACGGCCACCCGGCCACCCTCCACCACCCACACGCCCACCCGTCCACCATCCACCACCCACACGCCCACCCATCCATCCACCCATCGTCCGTTCCCATGGCTGGCCAGCCTGTTTTCTCAGCACAGGACTCTCAGACACTCCTGCCCCCACCTGGGAAGCGCTTCCCTGAGATACCCCATCTGGCCAGCCCTCCCTGGGACGTACCCTGGACAGCCCCCCTGGACGTCCCCCTGGACAGCCCTGTCTGCCTCATTCTCTCAGGCCCCTCCCCCAGGAGCCACCTACACCACACAGCCCCAAGAATGGCCTCCAGAGGATGCACGGAGTGGCTGTCCAGCTTCTGCCGTGCCCACAGCCCAGCACGTAACCTACGTCGGCTCTCTCCACCCTCTGCAGAGGGCAGGTGGGCAGGCCGGGACAGCCAGGCCCAGAGCCATGGGGCAGCAGGTCTCCTGCAGACCAGGGGCAGGAGGACAGGGCAGGGCCGATAGTCATAGGTGCAGGCGGCAGCAGCAGCCTGGGCAGGGCTCACAAGTCTCCCCCCAGGGGACAGAGCCTGTGTCTCAGGGGCCTGGCCACCTGGTGAAGCCCACCTGTGGCCGGGCCCTGACCCCAACCTGCAGACAGACTCCCAGGCCAGAGGTCAGGGCCAAACAGAAATTGAAGGTCCTAGGGGACGCGGTGTGGAGGAGCTGGGCTCCTGTCCAAGGGGCCTCCCTGAACACCTCTGCCTGCAGGTGTAAGGCCCAGGCAGGAGGCAGGCACGGCCTCTTCCTGGGCGGGGACCTGGTCCTGGCTGCACGCGGTCTCCCCCCTCTGAGTGGGTGAGAAGGGCCTGGTGCTGGGCCAGGCCCTGCGAGGCCTGCCTCGTCTCTGTCACCACTCTCAGATCAAGGGATCTGCAGCAGGGCCTGAGCACAGCCCAGCAAACACGGAACCCTTCAGCCAGGCCTGGGCTGCAGCTCAGGAAGAAGAGTGCTCCCCTGGCACGGGAGAGGCCCTGATCAAGTCCTGAGGCTGCGGAAACAAAAGGGCTGCTTTACAGTTCTCTGTGGACCCCCCCGTGATGCTGGGCGTCTTGGGCAAGTTGACTTCAACGCCCTGCTCACCAGCAGGCTAACAGAGGGCAAGCAGGGTGTGCGGAGGTGGCCCAGACTCTGGGGAAGAACCCTCTGGGCACCTGGGAGCCACAGCAGGAAGGACCTGGGGCTGGGGAGAGGCCACATCTGATATGAGCTCTGACTGGGGGAAGGGAAACCAGGTCATGATGGAGGCAGAATCCCAGCTGGGCCAGAGGTGGGTACAGCAGTTGGTGGAGCATGGCCTGGCTCCATGGGGCCATGTAGGGTCCCACATAAGAGCCCACCACCCTGGAAAGTCTTCAAAAGCCTCCTAATCCCCTCCACCCACCCCTCACTCACTCGGGTGACCCTCCGCTGAGCATCACAGCACCTAAGAACACAGTGGCCCCGGGGGCTGTGGCTCAGTGGGAGGCCCTGGGTTCGAGCCTCAGCACCATATTAAAAAAAACAAATCAAAAAGCACACAGTAGCCCAGAGGAGGGGCTGCTGCCATCAAGGGTGTCCTGCCAAAGTGCTGCTGAGACAAAAAGGAAGAAGAGACTTCGCCTGACCCTCAAAGCTCCAGAGGTCGGCCAGGCTGGGTGAGACCCTGGCTCAAAATTCAACACCAGGGCTGGGGTGGGTGCAGCTCGGTGGGGGGCCTGCCTGTCAGGACGTCCTGGCTCCGTCCCAGCACTGCAGGTGAGTAAGAGTGAGGGTGAAACCAGGTCTGAGGGCAGCTTCCAGAGGTTAGAAACCAAAGGAGGGGCGAGGGGAGCCCAGGGCAGCAGGCTCGCCCGGCCCTGGAGCCCCGACCTGCTGCAGTCCACCCACCAGTCCTTCTTTTTTTCACTTATAGACAGACACAGTACCTTTATTGATTTATGTTTGTGTGGTGCTGAGGGTCGAACCTAGAGCCTCACACATGCTAGGCAGGTAGGTGCTCTGCCACTGGGCCCCAGCTCCACCAACCTCATCTTGAACAACAAGCACAGCGGGGCGTGGTGGCACACACCTATCACGCCAGCGGCTGGCCAGGCTGAGGCCGCAGGAATGCGAGTTCAAAGCCAGCCTCAGCAAAAGCCAGGCGCTACACACCTCAGTGAGGCCCTGTCCCTAAGTAAAATACAAAAAAGGGCTGGGATGTGGCTCAGCGGTTGAGGGCCCCTGAGTTCAATCCCTGGTACCAAAAAAGAAAGACAGACAGACAAGCAGACATTCTGCCACACGGGGCAGCGCCCTGCAGGGCGCCTGGGAGACCCCTCCGCCAGACCCTTCCTAGGGCTGGGCGTCTTTGGAGATAATTCCCACCCACCCCACTCGAGAAGTGGGGGGCTCCCGCCTGAGACAGGGGTGCGGCACCTGCCAAATGATGAGCCAGGGAGGGCTTGAACGGACCTCAGGCTCCAGCGCCCCCTCCTCCGGCCTCCAAGCCACCGGCCCCTCCAGGGGCTGACTCAAGGCCCCGCCTCCCAGCATGCCCTCACTGTGCCTGGTGCCTCTAGAACTCCTGCTCAGCCCGCAGAGCCCAGCTCCTGACCCACCTCCCAGGTCCCACCCAGCCCCAGACACCCTGGTCTGCCCGCCCAAGGCGGCCACGGCAGCGGGGCCCACTCGGCCTCCCCAGATGGGGTCTCTGAAGGTAGGCGGAACCGCGGCCTCACCTCCACGAAGTAGAAACAGGGCAGAAGCGTCATGCTGTCCTTGGGGGTTTTATTCTTCTCCTTGGCGGTGATCATGGTGTCGCGGGCACCGTAGGCCGAGGTCGGAGAGGAACAAAGCCACACTAGAGGGGAGACGTGCAGACTGATCCCTGGGGGTACCCGGTGGCCAGCGGGGAAGGGTCGGGCCAGGATGCGCAAGAACGGCCGGGGGAACAGGCTGGAGCCGAGGCGACCCCGGCCGGGCGTCACAGTCAGGCTTCTGGGCCCCCTGCCCCGGGAGCGGGGCCCAAGGAGCCAGCGAGGAGGCCGGGGGCTGCTCCTCTCGCCAGGGCGGCGCAGCCC